ACACCACGAGAAAGGACCAAAACGCAAGCGCATGACGGTATTTGACTCAGCGAGCATTTCCAGCACCGCTATTGCCATCTTTCGGCGAGTTGAGGTACCACATATGAGTGCTGCGGTGGAAATCTGGCACGGCTAGCTCAACAGCAATAACGCAGTCAAGCAATGACACGCTAAAAAGCGCATTTACTGAATTTATAAATTTTGTGATCTAGAATAAGCTGATGCGCGCGACTAGTAAAGGTCGCCACGGCAACTCCCGGCTGGTAGCCATAAGGCGGGCTGCAGCGTGCAGCGCAGCACCCGTGTCAGGCATGTTCGACACGGCTACTTCTCTTTTGGTGGTTGCTGTCGGACGACTGCCCCCATCGGTTTAGTCGGCTGGTGTCGATCGTCAACTTTTTGTAACTGGTCCATCGAATATTCACGTCGAGTTGGAGGACGGTACATTTCAACGATTCTTCCGAACGTTACCGGATTAAAATTTGTTAACGTTTTGGGAGTCAACCTTCGGTTTGTTTTCAGGTTTTAATTTGACATCGTGTCGTATCGTCACAAAAATAGCGCAACTTGCCGCAGACCGTGAGTTTTAAGACATCACTGAATAATGCCAAAACACTCATACAATACCATAAAACTTTATCAAAGTCAATAAGACACATCCATCGTATACGCTTTTATCCGCCTTTTCGTTAGGCGGACAACCTCGCCCAGTCAAATTACTCAGGACATCCACCTTATTACACGCACAAGATGTTTGTGACTCAAGTGTTTTAGTTATCACGGCGTACACCTTTTCGGAATGCGTTTATTTTACATAGCCTGGGCCTCCGGGAATGACAAACGACGTGTCACTTCCAATGCAACAATTTCTGTTCTAAGCAGCTTTGAGCGGAACGCGAAGCCGCATCTTGTGTACGCGAGCCGGGCACTGGCGTTCCTCACCCCTGTAGTCCTTTGCAGTGTAGTCTGGAGGCGAACAATACCCGCAGGCGGCGCATCTTTGACATCGATCCCTGGTGTGTCCGAACTTCTAACACGAGAAACATTTAAAGGATTTTAAATCTAGGGACCAATACTATTTCAGCATGTCGGGCATATTAAACGGGAGGACGAAGCTATCCGCCTGGTCTTCGGTTCCGGCGCGTCCAAGTACGATCCACCCTGCTCGTGCGACGCCTTAGAAGACTAACACTGCGGTCACCTCCTCATTGGTCACCGCCTGTAGTGCTCGGCAGAACACGAAATCTTTCCCCTGGCTCAGGGTGTGGTGGGGTTTGCCAGAGCTGAGCATATCAACGTTTTTTCCTTGCGCGCGGTAACAAGAGTTAATTTGACATGGTTGTTTGATGCCAATCTCCTCGTGGTACCCTACTAGCAAAAATCCATCGCGTTGACGAGTGGCGTTTCTTGGCTTGCCGGACAATGAGAGAAGTCCATGGAGGCGACGGAACGGATTCAAGCCTGTGAACCTTCTGCTCGCTCCTCACGATCAGAGAGTAAGGCACGGTCTGAGGTTGAAGACTCGGTCCCTGCTGGAGGGACCGGACGCCACACCCATGGGACGGGAGCCGGTTGTGGTGTTCCATAGGTGTTTGTTTTTAGGTTCAGCGCGCAGGCTGCCCACCCACCAGACCGAAGCCCTATAGAGACGGTGCACCGAGCAATTACTGTGCCGCCAGGGACTACCTATGCGCCATATGCGGGTCAGTGCACGAAGAGCGCCGCTGCGGACGTCGCCAGTCACGGGTCTGCAGGAGTCAGTGCGACAGGAGTGCCGCTGCGGATGCCTCCAGCCGCGGGTCTGTGGGAGTTAATGCGATAGGAGTGCCGCTGCGGACGTCGCCAGTCGCGGGTCTGCGGGAGTAAATGCGACAGGAGTACCGCTGTGGATGCCTCCAGCCGCGGGCTCTGCGGGAGTTAATGCGACAGGAGTGCCGCTGCGGATGCCTCCAGCCGCGGGTCTGCGGGAGTTAATGCGATAGGAGTGCCGCTGCGGACGTCTCCAGTCGCGAGTCTGCGGGGGTCAGTGCGCCAGGAGAACCGCTGCGGACGTCTCCAGTCGCGGGTCTGCGGGAGTCAGTGCGCCAAGAGAACCGCTGCGGACGTCTCCAGTCGCGGGTCTGCGGGAGTCAGTGCGCCAAGAGAACCGCTGCGGACGTCTCCAGTCGCGAGTCTGCGGGGGTCAGTGCGCCAAGAGAACCGCTGCGGACGTCTCCAGCCGCGGGTCTGCGGGAGTCAGTGCGCCAGGAGAACCGCTGCGGACGTCCCCAGCCGCGGGTCTGCGGGAGTCAGTGCGCCAAGAGAACCGCTGCGGACGTCTCCAGCCGCGGGTCTGCGGGGGTCGGTGCGCCAAGAGAACCGCTGCGGACGCCACCAGACGCGAGGCTGCGGGAACCAGTGCGCCAGGAGTGCCGCTGCGGACGCTGCCAGACGCGAGGCTGCGGGAACCAGTGCGCCAGGAGTGCCGCTGCGGACGCTGCCGGACGCGAGGCTGCGGGAACCAGTGCGCCAGGAGTGCCGCTGCGGACGCCACCAGACGCGAGGCTGCGGGAACCAGTGCGCCAGGAGTGCCGCTGCGGACGCCGCCAGACGCGAGGCTGCGGGAACCAGTGCGCCAGGAGTGCCGCTGCGGACGCCGCCAGACGCGAGGCTGCGGGAACCAGTGCGCCAGGAGTGCCGCTGCGGACGCCACCAGACGCGAGTCTGTGGGAACCAGTGCTCCATCATGTCTACTCTGCATATTCCACGCCCCCACTAAACAAGCAAGGAAAACTTGATCTGTGAACCAACGGTCTCGCGGGTCTCGATGAGGTTTGTGTGGTGTATGGGGATATCTGATCGGGCAGCAAAACATAGTACTTTAAGTATTCATGTCATTTTCGTATGAAGTGATGGCTCACATTAACTGAACGCTAATACCCGGTTTAACTTCAAGGGATAAGCGACGGTTGTTTTCCATGATACGCTCGCGGCAGAAATAGCTCAATGCTTGAAGTGAAAAGCACCAGGAGCGCTCTCCTAACAATGGTTCATTATCCATGTTTCTAAACCATCAATAGGATTTCGACGTGAAAGCAACGCATTAAAAATCGCTTGATTGTTGTTCACTGGATTCCTGAATTTTATTGACTGTCAATTCGACGGTCATCAAGAGCGAGCGGTGCGGGACACCCTTTGTTCAGATAATTGTCTAGCGCTTTCTCTGCGATATGAGCGGAGCAAACAGACGAAACGAGCCTTGTACATTACGCCGGTAGGTGTCAGCTGTGGCAGAGTGAAATGCGCTGTGTCAAGTTTGTTGAAGCTCTTGTTTAGATCCGGCATGCGGGAGATCATCGTGCATTCTTTGAAAAGTTAAGTTTTAACCTTCACCCTTCGAGGGGCCTCCGTCACGTAAGGTCACGCTTATAAAAAAACTGACGTTTGTCACCAGGTTTAACCGTTTAAAGGTTGTGCGTCTTAAATCTCGTTGCCCCGTATCTCACGGCTTGGGAAAGTCTTGTAAAGAGTGCTTTCCCCATCGCTGTGGCTTCTTTAGTCCTTCACATATCAGGACGAGCCAAAACAAAATCGCGTCCACCTCTGACCTGACACATCTCACAGATCACGTGTGTTCACCTTCACTAGTGTCTGGTCAGTTAGCATGTTCAGCGAGTTATTTAACGCCGTCTTCCTCACTGTCGTAGCACGCTTATTTCCTGAGATAACAAGAGTGGTTTATTGAAGTGTAACCGGGGGAGGGAGCTGAAAAATTACTGGCAATGCGTAACGTAATTTGTGGACGGATGTATCGTCAGGGAAGGCACGGCACACCATGTGGTGTAATGACGTCATCGTTAAGTGAAATATGCGAAATATCAATGACCGTGACAGGGCAACCTTGCCTCACTGAGCCAACTGATGGAAAATGTGCGGGAAAAGGACAAACCAAGCTTTATTGTGATGCTCAGGACCAGCGCTATAAAACAATACGTTGGCAGTGGACTAAGGAGAATAAATTGCGGTATTAAGAGATAATCCCGGCCACTGCAGTGGCTGGAACGGAAGCTTCTGTTTATGCCCATGGATAACGTCATTTTACGTTTAGTTAACGTTTAATTTACGTAACGTTTAGTGAGAACATTGTTATCATGGCGGGCACACGGTTCGGCAATAGCCGCGCACTCTCTCCACACACGTGGCCCAATGAAACAAGCTGGAACCTGTGAGCCACTTTGTGAGAAAATGTTTATTTCGAACCGACTAGAGAGTTACACCAGTCCGTCAGCTGAAGGACAGAGTAGGGCCAAAGCACCGTGCAGGCCTCTGACAAGGCCGGCGGGCTCTTGCCGTCACCCAACAACAGGACCAGCAGCAAACGCTGCCTCTTGCTCAGGATTTGAATCAGCCGGACACGAGCGGCCGGACCTGCGGGGCTCACGGCCGGACCTGCGAGGTCCACGGCCGGACCTGCGAGGTCCATGGCCGGAGCAGCGAGGTCCACGGTCGGACTTGCGAGGCCCGCGGTCGGACTTGCGAGGCCAACGGCCAGAGCAGCGAGGTCCACGATCAGACCTGCGAGGTCCGCGGCCGGACCTACGAGGTCCACGGTCCGACCTGCGAGGTCCACAGCAGGACCGGCGAGGCCAACACTCGGACGGAAGGCCGAGTGCTCGTCCGCGGACGAGCGAGCGCCCCCTGACGGGAGACAGACCCCGGACACCAGAGCCAGTCTGACCCCTCTCCTCTCACAGAGACGGGCAGCGGCGCTCAGGCGAGACGAGGCACGTCGTCTCCGACGGCAGACGAGGCCCCACACACCACCGACCAGGCGGAGACCGGCCCTCCAGCTCCGAACACGGCTCAAGGCACTCACACACACACACACACGCACGTGCGTGCGCGCGCGCGGTCTGCCTGCCGTTGAGACCGCCGGCCGACGACAGTTCGTCGCGCGCGATCGCGCAGGGCGGACCGCATGACTAGCCAACAACTCATTCCATTCCGCCTTCCCGATCGCCATCAATCATCAGTTCATAAATACGGTAATTCAAATAGCAACAGAGTGAATACAATAGCGCGCGGGCGCGCGGTCGGCGGCGGCGTCGGCGCGGCGCGGCTCGTCGGTCTCGACGCGTCGGCCGACGCTCGGCTCGCGCCGGCGCTGAGATCGTCGCCAGGCTCGGCCGACGCCCGCGCCGCGCGGCGGCCAACGAGAAACGGCGCGGCAACGGCGCCAACGCCAACACGGAACACACACTCTCTCCCGGGCGGAACACAGGAGCGGCGATGGCGGCGGCCGGCGCGCGCCCGTCACTTGGCCGACATGGGGTAGTAGTACATGACGGTGGGCGCCGGCAGCTGCCAGCGGGCCGCCTGCAGCTCCACCAGCTGAAAGAGGGAGCAGTCGTCACCGGCGGCCAGCAGACGGGTGCCGCGTCCGACACACGACTTGTCGAGACACGCACATGTTTGATGGCACGCTACCACCCACACCACGCACGCAGGAGCGCTGCTGAAGGACACATATGATCACGAGAACAACTTAATATACATAGCACACTTAGCATTTGTGACGATCTTGGTCGTTTGTTGGAAGCTACGCATAGTGCACACCTCGTTTTCGGTTGTCGATATAGAATATTACCATAGGTCATGTTTTTTAACCGAAATTTTGCTTTTTGGCAACGTTTTAGTCAACTCGATGATAATTTCAAGACGAATTTTACATTACAAAGAAGCAGTCACGCACCGCACATATACAAAAGCTCGGTTTTCATTTGTGTCAAAAACACTCCCGAGGTATCTTCCAAAAAGTCACAATTGAAACGCCTAGTTCAAGGCACACTTCTGCACGGCCGAAAGCTGTCTTCCATTTTCGCCATATCAAGTCGGAGGATTACTGATCCGGCAGTTTTGCATTACGGAGGAGGAGATGGGTCCTCGGCAGTACACTCGAAACAGCAAACTATACTGGTCCGTTTTAACGTATCTCTGATTTGGTTGGCGCCATTTTTCATAACCAAAGAAGATGTTTTGGACTTCGGTAGCATATCATAAATCGTAGTTGTCTTCCGTTGATACGAAAGGACGAAGTGTTTGCGGACAATGCCACGTAATGCCTGCTCATCTGTAATCTAAAACGGCGTCATCGTACTTCTTATCAAAAAGTTTCAATGTCTCAGGAAACTTCCGAGGAACATTATTTTGTTCGCATCGTTTTAGATAGTCATCGAATAAATACTTCGCGACATTGTCAAAACCAGTTTTTATGTATTCGTCATTGATGACCGTTTGGCGTAGCCCGTCGCATCCCGTCTTCTTTTATTTAACGCATCCGGTTGAAAGCACTCCAGGGGAAAGAATGTTTCTTAAAAAATAAACTACATCTCCTGCAGACTGAAGCACGCAGGAGAATAGGTTGGAGAGGCCCTTGTACCCTGACGGCAGATCTGCAGCGTGCAGCGAGGGTGCTTTGTCTAAATAAAACGACAGTCGTAGTGCAGGAAGACAAGAGCTTAACTTTCGAGATGCCTGAGCAAAGATTAGTCCAGAAAGTGAGGGATGACTTGTCGGATGATCGCAAGCTTAAGCGGATTTATAGAGACCCAACTGCTTCCCTGAAAGCTTATCTTAACAAACTGATGGATGTGGTCAATGCCGAGGCTGATGGCGGCCATTCCCAGAAGGTCGTTGGGCAGCACGGTCAGGACTATTTGTACGGGAACATGAAAACCCGTAATAAAGGAAATCCCACCAGATCTACACTATCCTAAATTCCTGCTACGACATAGCAGACAGCCAAAAGGCTCAATGCCATACTTTCTCCATTTCTGCCATTGGAGTGCACACTTCGACCCACTGAAGAACTAGTAGCTATTCTTAACGCAAAAAACGACATGCTCCTTGTCATCACTAGACGTTGCAACTTTATTCGTGAAAGTCCCCGAAAACGATAGACATCATGCGGCGATATGTCTGTGATCATGAAGCCCCTTTCCCACCCCAGTTACCTCGAGCGGTCAAGGAGGGAATGCTACGCCCACGCATATCGGTCCAGACGCCATAAGGGCAACCTGTGCCTGCCGGTGGATGGGGTATCAGTCCGGCCTGAATTTCACCGTAAAATTTAGTGCGAACAATAAACTGCCACTTCTAGACTTCTGACTGACCCATCAAATGATGCATTTCAGACAGATCATTACAGAAAAGCCCCCAACTAGGTTATTTCCATCAATGGTAATGAAGACTGTCCAGATGCATACGAAAGGTCATTAAGGCTTGTATCCCCTGGCTTTGGAAAATTGTTCCTTGTGAAGTGCTTTCAACAGAGCTAAACGGCCGGCGTCAAATGTTACCCACAACGAATATGCAAATAATGGCTTTCACGACACAAAAAATATATACACAAACGCACACACACACACATTATATACATATATCCATGCATATATATATATATATATATATATATATATATATATATATATTTACAACACAGACAAAAATTCCTAACTCCTTGCTTAGCACCCAGCCCTGCCGCCCTCACCTGCAGCAGTGTTTTGCTGACGGCCGAGATCAGGCTGCTGTTGATGAGCGCATCGCGCACGGCGGCCATGATCCGTTCCAGGTGTGACGGCGACTCCTGTTCCAGGTCGCGGCCGATCGACGTCAGGATCAGGAACACACACTCTGTCTGTGGAGCCAGCCGCCAGCCGTCAGCCGTCAGCTGTCCCCACAGACGCCGGCCACCACACGAAGGACAGCCGTACGGCGCGGCACGGGCCGTCGGCTCCGTCCGCAGCCCCTGCAGACGGAGCCGACGGAGCAGCCCGGCTCCGGGAGCTCCGGGAACGCGGCGACCGCGGCACGCCGTGTCCGAGCGCAGACAGCGCTGAGGCTGGTGGCGCCACCTGGACCCCACCATCCTGCCCACATAGACCCCGTCGCGCTGCGGCGCTTGGTGCGGCCCTTCAGACATCGGGGGCCACCAAGTCGGCCCCCGCCCCGAGTGAGGCCGCTCCTCCGTCCCCATCTGCCGGCGGCGCCTACCTCTGCCAGACTGTTGACGCTGGGTGCGCGCAGAGTCACCTGGCAGCACTCGGCCAGCAGCTCGAGCAGCATCTGGACAGCCGAGCCGGAGCGGGGCCGCGGCCCGGTCGACACCTGGCGCCGCTTCAGCTGAGGACGGCACACGCTACAGTGGCAGGGCCGGTCAGCCCACCGGCCGGCCGACACACACCACACGGGCAGGGCCGGTCGGCCTACCGCCGGGCCGGCACACACCACACGGGCGGGGCCGGTCAGCCAACCGGCCGGCCGGCACACACCACACGGGCGAGGCCGGTCGGCCTACCGGCCGGCCGGCACACACCACACGGGCAGGGCCGGTCAGCTCACCGGCCGACCGGCACACACCACACGGGCACGGCCGGTCAGCTCACCGGCCGACCGGCACACACCACACGGGCACGGCCGGTCAGCTCACCGGCCGACCGGCACACACCACACGGGCACGGCCGGTCAGCTCACCGGCCGGCCGGCACATACCACACGGGCGGGGCCGGTCAGCTCACCGGCCGGCCGGCACACACCACACGGGCGGGGCCGGTCAGCTCACCGGCCGGCCGGCACACACCACACGGGCAGGGCCGGTCAGCTCACCGGCCGGCCGGCACACACCACACGGGCAGGGCCGGTCAGCTCACCGGCCGGCCGGCACACACCACACGGGCGAGGCCGGTCGGCCTACCGGCCGGCCGGCACACACCACACGGGCACGGCCGGTCAGCTCACCGGCCGGCCGGCACACACCACACGGGCGGGGCCGGTCAGCTCACCGGCCGGCCGGCACACACCACACGGGCAGGGCCGGTCAGCTCACCGGCCGGCCGGCACACACCACACGGGCAGGGCCGGTCAGCTCACCGGCCGGCCGGCACACACCACACGGGCAGGGCCGGTCAGCTCACCGGCCGGCCGGCACACACCACACGGGCAGGGCCGGTCAGCTCACCGGCCGGCCGGCACACACCACACGGGCAGGGCCGGTCAGCCCACCCGCCGGCCGGCCTACACCACACAGGCGGGGCTAGTAAGCCCACTGCCCGGCCGGCACACACACCAGTCAGCCCACCGGCCGGCCGGCACACGCCGCCGACGCTGAGCCGCATACGCGTGCCACTATGACGACCGATCTCACTGTAGGCTTACCGTCAGAATAGCAATTTTAATTGAAACAGAACAAGTTTCTGTCTTTTTGGGTCAAGTTTCAGCGATTTCTGTCTGGGACAAACGGAAAAATAGCGTGCTACGACGGGCGCACAAAGCTCCGCAGCCAACCACGTTTCCTGTGAAACACTAATTGCAAAGATGACAACATTCCGTTTGCCACCGGCAGCAAAGAAACAACTCGGCAACGCAGTACACAGCACGCAATGCAACTCACGCTCAACGCCATTTAAAGCCTTAAGTTACAAGTTGGCTCCTCCACCCGGGGAACACGCGAGCCACACACTGCCGTCCCGGGCCGGCGGGCCCTCGGCCCACCATGTAGCACTGACCAGGGCGTACAGCTCGTTGATGAAGGTGGTGAAGGCGATCCAGCGCGGCGAGGCCGGCACAAATCCGTTGCCGAAGGTGCTCTGGTGCGGCCGCAGCAGCCGGTCCCGCTGCTGGTACCACTCCTGCGAACACGGCCGCAACGGCGTCCATACGGCAACGAGGGCGGCGCTGACAAGGGCGCCGGCGTGCTCGCTACCGAGCCGGAGGATCACGCCATCAGTCCACGGGCGAGTGGCGGCGCTGACAAGGGCGCCGGCGTGCTCGCTACCGAGCCGAAGGATCACGTCATCAGTCCACGGGCGAGTGGCGGCGCTGACAAGGGCGCCGGCGTGCTCACTACCGAGCCGAAGGATCACGTCATCAGTCCACGGGCAAATGGCGGCGCTACTGCGGACGGTGTCCCCGCCATTGAAACGAGGGATGGTACAACTGCGTTACTGACTGCCACCCTGCCAGCAGGACGGCGCGTGTGACCTGCCACGGAACGCTGGCCAGGCACCTGGCACGTGTTGAGCAGTGTCTCGAGGAAGGTCTCGGTGCGCTCTCGCTCAATGACGGTGAGGCAGAGCCGGGCGGCCGGCTCGCCGTAGCGGGCCGCCTCCACCAGACGCGTGAAGATGTGCCGCACCAGGTCCATCATGTGCCGGCCGGTCAGCCGGTTCGGGTCTGTGGAGTGGTCGCACCGGCTCGTCACGCCCGCGCACAGCGGCCCAGCTGGCGCGCTCGCGCGAAACTAGCCGTGACGTACGCCAACATGAACCTCATCCGTTAAAAACAGATCAAGAGCAGGCGAATTCAAACAAAGCGAATAAACAACGGGGTGTGCACGCCAATTGAAATCGTAGCATTTGCTGACGTACTGCGTCTGACCAGTTATTTACTTGAGCGCTGGCCAACATCGCATCACTGGCTCCGACGCCTATGTTCACGGTGGCGGGTCCCAAAATCGAGGTCCCAGTCCGTCCCGTTATTTACCGACATATTCAGCAACTGACACGCATTCGACCTCCTCGACCCAGCCCCGCCAACCTCACCCCCTCCCCCGACCCTCGTCCCAATATCCGGAGCAATGTCGCCCTCACTAGTGCTGTCCGGCGCGGCGGCTCAGCCGCGCCTGACCCGACCCGACCTGACCACTCACCCTGCACGGCCAGCGCCATGAGCGCCTGCACGTCAGGACTGAAGTGACCCAGCTCGGCGGCGGCGCCCAACTCGGCGTGCGCCGCCGCCGGCGCCGGCGCCGTCAGCTCGGCGCCCAGGCTGCGGGAGCGCTTCAGGCCGCCGGCCAGCGGCGCCAGTGGCGCCACCTCGTCCGGTCGTTTGTCGTAGTTCGTCGCGTCGTCGCTGGGGGCGGGAGCGTCGCCGGCGCCACCCGAACGGAACGTCACCTGCGGCCGGGAGGGGCGTGACGGCGCGGGCTGCCATCTGCCGGCGCCGGTCCGAACCGGTGATGCGCGCAGCGGCCGTGGGCGACACTACCTGCGCCGGGCCCGAATTAGACTGGGTGGTGTCACGGGTGACACGCAACAGCGGGTCATCGCAACACGACCGGGTCTGCGGGAGCACCGGCCGCCTGGATACTGATCAGCTTCAGAGCTAATGGCCGGGGGGTGGGGGGGATCCAGAGACTGACAAGGAAAGCAAGCACAGTGCGCAAACGAACAGGATGTGGGCGATTGGTGGTGTTCACAGCTATCTAGAGCACGGTCATAAAGCGGCGTGAGGCGAATACGTCCTCTACGTACGAATGTGGTGATGTATGTGGCGCACTGACGTTACCCACTGAAGGGTCACTGGTTTGATGCCACTAAATAATGAAACATTGGCTTAAGATTGTCAGATGCCGGTTCTGGGAGTTATTCCCCAAGAAAAAAATATAAGCACAACTTGCCGTGCAGAACACAGCATAGTGTAAGCCGACACACACACACACACACACACACACACACACACACACACACACACACACACACACACACACACACACACGCGCGGCATGCCTTTACAATACCACCCAAATTCTGGCACGACACTCCAAGGGGATCGGCCAGTCTCCAGTGCCTCCGACTACCATCCGCATTCTGACAAACAAATCACCGCGCGCCTGCAAAATACAGATGGCCCGCCTACACGCGGACACGGGTCGAGTACAGCCAGGTGGCTCCGCCGGGCGCCGTTTAGTCCGTCAGCTTCGGCCGGCTCCTGACCTGTTGGACGGTTAGTGTCCGCCACTGCCACCCCACTCGGCACACAGGGTTAGTATCAGGCCAGCTGCAGAGGCAGCACGGCACGGCGCCCTGACCTTGAAGATCCGGCCGTCCTTGGAGCTCTTGGAGCGAACCAAGGTGCCCGGCACTGCTGACTTGTTACCCTAGGACCAACGGCAGCGGTTACAGGGAGAAGTGGTGCCCTGGGATCTAGCGGGACAGTACTTCGCTCGCGACAAACGTTTGAAGTCAGGAAGCGAGAACGGGGGGTTACAGCCACCACCTTCGTTGCTCATGTGTGTATTCGCCCGCAGGGCTTGGTCGCTCGTTTGATGTCTCAATATCCCCGGCGTTCGTTTAATGCACTGCACGGGCCACGACAGGTGGCTCACATTGGCTATAATGAATAGCCCCCGCTCACGAAACTCACCCTTACTGTCGCGACCCCAAACGATCAGTTTCCATTGCCGCTGAACCACACGTCAATCCCCAACCTTTAGAACGGTGGCACACTCCCCGTTCGCTGGGCTGAACACGAAATTTGTCCTCCCTCCAGTGGCTGACCTAAAAGCGAGAAAACTGCCAGGGGCCATCCCACCAAAACAAGCGAAGCTGTCCGTCTCAATCTCAGCTGGTTATGGCGTCTGCCTTACAGCTAACGCAACCGATTGCAGCAGATCTGCAATGAAATCCGCAACGATGTCACTGTTGGGTACCATCGCAAACAACGCCATCGCTATTGCAACGCTACTGCAACGCACATATCATTAACAACCCCAAACTTTGATGAAGCCTGCTGACGCACTTTGGATATACGACGCGTCAATCAGAAAGCGTACCACCAATTTCTGCTACCTAATCACTACAATGTGGAAGCCTGTTTTAATCACGAATGGAGCCAACAGAAGTGCGCTTAGATTTGGACAAGTGCAATAATTTCCTTTCAATCATTTTGTCGGTTACAAAGCTTGGAACAAACCTCCTACTCCGTTGTCAAACCAAATATGAGAAAAATGAAACATTGCCTCTAACCAGACCGCAGTTAAACGCCAGCAACGACCTTACAAACTGCACATGGCGTATTACGCTGTCTATCTCAGCTCGTGGCGCATTGAACCGGACAGTGAGGTCACCACCCGCTGGGGGAGATGACGCCAGCTGCACTGCACGGGTCGAAGAGGCGTCAACTGTGACCTCACTAGCGGTGGGAGCTGTCGGTGATGTAATCTCAGACGCAAACACGGCACACCGGTTAAGGCTGATAAGGGCGGCGCCTCGACATTGCTTAGCACGTAATCGAACAACAGCTGCTTCGGGAATCGCAGCTGCGCTGGACTTGCAATCGCTAGCGCTTGGGCTGCCAGCGACCAGTTCGTGTTCCTTTCCCTCGAAAACTCTTGGTGACCCTTCTCATGGGGATGTTATTGTCGTGACTTCACTTGCACCGTGTGAAAGCGACCGCACCGAATAAGGACGAGGAAAGGTGCAGGCGGCCAGCGCCCACGCCAGTAAGGTTGCGCCAAAGCCGACATCGGTGCACGTCCAGAGGTGGGCCGCCGACTGACGCACCCTCTCGGTCTCGGTCTCGGTCTCGGTCCCGCTCTCTGTCCCGGAGCTGCGGCGCCAGCTCCAATCGCACGGCGCAGCGGCCGAACAGGTCCATCACAGCATGGCGCGGGGCCTCACGCTCAAACCACGTCCATCCGCGATCAGACGCTGCCGCCATTACTTCACGACGGCACTCACGGGCGTCGCGCGGGTCATCCCGGACTGGAGAGCACGCTGCTACGAAACGTCAGCAATGTGGTGTCTCGGCGCGGGCAGTGGCCACGTCACTGGGCTGTTGGCCGCAATCCCCTGACGCGCCAGTACGTCCCGCGCTCGATCTCACCGGCATAAACGCCAGTACGTCCCGCGCTCCATCTCACCGGCATAAACGCCAGTACGTCCCGCGCTCCATCTCACCGGCATAAACATGCCTCAATCTGACGTCACCGTTTTGCATGTTGAAACAAGCCCGTACGCCCCACTAAGGGACTACTTCCGAGTGCTTTTCCTGGCCCCGATTTCTGACACGCACGACTTCGCGTGAGATCCTGTGCCACGTTCGCCAGCGATTCGTGTCCTAGGGGCAGAAACGTGTCAGCAAACCGGAATGTACCCGTGCCACCATCACTGCGACCCAGCCGTATATTTGTTTCCTCTGCCGGTACCAGACGCCGGGCGGCGTTACCGACCAGCCCACCGCCCCGGCCGGGCACGGCGGCGGCGGCCGCCGCCGCCGTGTGGCGGAGGCGGTGCGTGGCGAGCCGCGGGAGCCGGCCTCCCCTGGGAGTGGCCCGGCCCGTCACCTGCCGCCAGCTGTCCGCCGTCTGATCGGCCTGGTCAGCGGCCGTGCTCAGTCCGATCCATCCGCCCGGGCGGGGGAGGCCGGCCGGCGGCGCTGCCCACGGTGCGCCCACCAGCCCCTGTCCATCCATCAGCCACGCGTGACGTCGGAGGCCCTAGCGACAGCCTGTCGACAGCCGCCTCCTCAAACAGCGCCACTGATCGCAATTTGGACGTCGTTCAGCTTCCGGCAGCGCCGCATTCCACGCGCCCCGCCACTTGGCAGACGGTTGTTGGCTGTCAAATTGTGTCACGCGCTATGCCTTTGAACGTAACGGGCTTATTGCTACCGCCGCAGAGCCCAGCCACCCTGCCAGCGTCCTGGACCAGCCCCACGCTCATCTCCCGCGCGCGCAGACCCCCACCTTAAGCGAGCGGGCGTCCTTGGAGCTCTTGGAGCGCAGCAGGGCGGATGGCGGCTGCTGCTGCTGCTGTTGTTTGGCGGGCGAGGCGCCGCCGACGCCACCGGCGGCGCTGCCGTCGACGTCGCCGCCGTTGATGACCGGCTGGAACTCCTTGGCGTTGATGTTGAGCGCCGTGGAGACGGCCGACGGGCTGCGGTCGGGCGAGCCGCCGCCGCCGCCGCCGTTGTAGCCGTTCACGGCCGGGCAGGCGGCCATGAAGCCGGGCGAGCGCATTGCTGCGGGACACGCGTCGGCTCAGCAGGGCTGGCCGGCGTGTCGGGCCGGCGCCGGCTCGGCGGCGCTGCAGCGTCACCGAGCCAGCTCGGGCGGGGCCGGCAGCCAGCTCACCGCGTCTGCCGACGGCATCGCAGCCGCCGGGGAGTGGCACCGACAACAGCGACCGGTCCAGCTACACCGAACACGCCCGTGACAGCCAGCACTCCCCGACCGCATCTGGCGAGGTAGGTGGGTCTACCCACATGCAATTGGCAGAGCTTAACGAGAAGAACATCTCAGCTCTTACAGACGCCTCTAGCTCCTTCAAAAATTGGAGCGCAGTTTTTCTCCATTCCGAGTTAGCTAACATCGTGAGCACGTGGGGTTGTGACCACAAAACAGCATGTGAGCTGCCTCGCAGCGTTTGCGATTACGGATGGCAGCACAGTTCCGCTGCGCCGTGTCCAGAGACGAGGCGGGGCTTCCGACCCGCTGTCGGCGTCCACTCACTGGGGGGTCGGTAGAGCTCCATGGCCGGCTTGGCCCGCAGTGCCGGCATGGCGCTGCGCCGCCTCGGGTCACGACCGCCCTGGGGGCACACAGGTCACCGTAATGTCAGTTTCACCGACAGGTCAGCGACGCGGTCCGGTCAGCGGTAAGCTCAGCTTGGGAACAGTCAGCTCAGCGATGCCGTCAAGTCAGCACAAAACCCAGGACATCGTTGCCGTCCAACGAACGTTACAGTATGGTCAGGCCCACTGCAACACAGGCCGGTCCAGGCGGGCGTGCGTCGGGGACAGCATGCCGTCAGGGACGGGGTCAGATCAGAGAGAGGGGCATGTCCGCGCAGCGTCAGGTCAGGTCACCAGGTCGGACCGCTCTCAGGTCAGGGACGGCGCCAGTCCGGCGCCTGGCCGCGCCTCCGCGACACACCCGCCCGGCGCCCGCTGAGTGGCATTGAGTCGCGCTTGTCATGCGTCGGGCGAGGCGACCCCGGCCGGGCGCTGCCTCTCCGCGGCCGCCAGCGCTACCGCGAAGCTCAGCAGTCAGCCCGGAGAGCACGGAGAACGCTGTCGGCGGCTGCCCGGCCGGGCTCGGGGCTGCCCCGCCCTCAGGAGAGGGACACGGGAGCCAGCAGCTCGCCCCGTGCAAAACAGCGAACATGAGCAGTCCCTCAGCCAGTCCCCACTGGGATAAGAAGCGATCACACACGCCGGCGGCAACGCTGAAGTATTGATGTGGGTCAGCAACAGCGCTGGAGCTAGACCGCGACAAACGGTGCTTGGAGTTCATAACAGACCGGACGAACTGAAATCGTTTGCAGTGTTGATACACAAACACATCGGGCCACTTGCAATCTCATCTAACGGCCTAGTACCGTTCAGCGAGCTGGGACACCAGCCCACCGCCCCGTCGGAGTCGGCTGGCTATGGCAGCAGGCCCGTGCTGCCCGCTGATGGCGCTACTGGCCGCCACGGCGCAGCGGCCGGGAGGCGCCGGCCAGCTCTGGCCATTCCGGCCGCAGCGCAGCACGGCACGCCCGCCGGCCGTGGCCGGGCCGCCGGGCGGGTGCCGCCACCTGCCGACTGGAGCCGGCCCGGCCGCGCCCGGCCCCCGACCGTGGCCGGGCCGCCAGCCGGGTGCCGCCATCTGCCGACTGGAGCCGGCCCGGCCGCGCCCGGCCCAAACCAAACAGCCGCGCGCCGGCGACCGGCGCCACTGCCAAGGCGGACGTTGCAGGCGCTCCATTCAGAGTCGCTCAGCTCATTGCCGCCTGGGCGGCGCTCCGAGCCATGACTCCAACTCCATGGAGCGTCACTGCCGCTGGCGGGCTGACCAGAGATGACGGCACGGGTCCCGACCTCGAATGCGCGGCGTCTCCTTTCCACCGCCGCCGCCGCCGCCCTCGGCGCCGCGCAGGTGCCGAGCCAGGCGTCACATGACCGCGCCAGACATGGGCCGAGTGAAGCCGAGTTAAGCTCCGACTGGTCACATCGCACTGATGCCCCTGATGTCGACAGAGAGAGGCGAGTGTGACGCTCCGCCACTGACCCGGCAGCATCTCCCAGCCGTGGGCGACCCCAGCCGCCGCGCCCGCCCCGCCCATCCGCGTCCCACTCATGTGCGTCGGCCGATCAGCCGGAAGCGAGACCGAGCAGCTCAGTTTCACGGCTCCGCGCCGACGAACCGGCCCGCTTCGCACGGCCGCAGTCGGAGCCGGAGCCGCTGCCGTGCGGGGCGCGCCAGCCGCGGCCGAAGCCACGGCCGCCGGCCGACGCGTCGGACACGGAGAGCTCGTCCGGCCGACGCTGCCACCGCACCGCCGTTCGCCACCGTCGGCAAAAACATTCACAAACTTACGGTCCGATTGCCTTTCACTGGCGTCAACGACCTGGCGCGTGCGGGGAAACGCGACCGGCGGCGGCGGCGGCGGCGGAAGAGAAACCCCTGCCGCCGGCGCCGCCGTGACGCCAGGCGGCCTGGCCCGGACATCGGACACACGGGACACTGGACACACGAGACACCGGACAAACTGCTCACCGCATTCAAGGCGGAGCACTGGACGGGCGAACCAGCGCGGCAGGACGACCCACTGACCGGGCAACGACCCAGCTGGGGATGGGTAACGGGGAACAGACGGCGGCCGCCGACGGACGCTGACAGTGTGCGGTCCGGGTCCAGCGGTACCGGTCAGCTGGGTCGAGTCCGCGGCAGACGCGGCCCGGCTCCTGCCCGCAGCGACAGGTTACACGACGGCCCACCGCCGCCCACGCCAGCAGCCGTTCCAAGCCCGGTGGGAGGCGCTGCCCGGCCGCCTTACAGAGCAGCACCACAGCCACGTCTGGCGACGGACCGTCGGGCCAACGTACAGTGCCTGCTTTACCAGTGGTGTCGGCGGTGACAGCGGCACCAGCACGTGCCCACAATCACCGAATCGAGCCGCAACAATCGGGCAATGCAGTCCGGGAAAGCATGGCGCGCTGCTCTATAGCGCGGCGGACCCGCCGACAGCGTTCCCCGGGGCACCACAGGTCAAGGCAGGCTCATGAGCCGCCCTGTTTATGACACAATGACCATCATATGCGCGCTTACGAACTCTCGTCATCCCCGTGCGGCGGTCCGGCTAACCCGATCCTGGCCGATTCCCCCACCCCCCTCCCCCACCTCGTCAACAGCAGCGCGCGGAGGCAAGTCCCCGGGGTACATGGAAGACCATTGGCAGATAGCGTGAGCCTCGAGAACACCGCTGGTTTGCTGAGCGGCACGTACGTCACTGTCACTGCGCACGGTACGACTGCGGACCGCAGAGGTATCTAGGGAGACTGGGCCATTCGCCTCTGATAAAATGACATGAAAATAGGATTGACCCGCGTCCAATTAGCTTAGGAACTCAGATAGACTACATGCAAGGCTGCATCCCTGGTGAACAGCAGGCGCGCTCTGTCGGGATCTAACACACTCAATTCGCGGTTTTTCTGGTCCGAATTATCAACAACAAAAACTTCAAATCCGCTATAAAATCATCGTCGCCCCAGCTACCACGTCATCTAAGCCCATATACCTCGCCCCTTCATGACCTCTCCAGATCTCGCCAGGTGCATCACGTTAACACGGTTATCGTAATTTTCTGAGATCGTTTAAAGTGATCAACGTACGCATGAAATCATTAAGAGAATTACCCTTGCAAACGGCGACCACTGACGTCGGTTTACGCGTCTGGGAGAGAAGATGAGCGTCGCATCAGCACCGCCCTCGATAATGAACCGCTCACCGCCCCTTTCCAGCACGATGCGGTCACACCGCATCCCGTCGCCGAGGCCTCTAGCCGCGCTGGCCGCGGTGACATGACCAGCAACGTCAGCCCGGCCACGGCGCGATCCCGCCCGCGCCGCTCCATCATGCAAGCCCGGCGCTGGGGGCTCCAACAAGGCTCGGTGCCGGCACAACGCTGGCGCGGCCGGTGACGCAGGGCGAGCTGAGAGCGGCGCGGCCTGGCGCCCGTCACGTGCCGCCCGGCCCCGGCCGGGCCGGCCGTGAGAGCGGGCCGGGGCAAAAACCCCGGCCGGCCCGACGGGCCGCAGAGGGGTCACGGCATCGGTAGAAAGTGAGAGTCGGACTGGGGCGAGGCCAGATGAGCGCCACCGTCATACAGAGACATCGCATAGCGGCGAGGCAGAGCGTTCCTCGCACATACAGCGGCGTCAGAGCCGACGCTCCGCCCAGGTCACAGCAGCCGCCGCCACCAGAGACGCCGCATGGCGCGGCGACAGAGGACCACGCGCGGAGCAGAGCCAGAGCTGCAGCTTCAGTGGGCGATCGGGCACGAACTTTATACAAGCATCATTTATGATCAGCTGAGCCCTTAAGCGCTGCAACCTCATTGAACTGCAGAGCTGCAACTCTGAAGCCATTCCCAATGTTTGAGCTAATCGCTCAGACGACGAGCAGGACGCGCCATTGCCAGGCCTGCCGGCAGCCACGTGCAGCCTACCGGGTGGCGGGTCGCTGACCGGCCGCCACGCGTGCCGGCCCGACACCATCGGGCATTCAGCGGCGCGACGGCTCCTCCAATATTTTAGTGGTATCAAGCGAGCCATTTGGTCTCCTTGGCGATAATGTACTGAGGACTGAGGCCCGCGGGCAGCGGCAGGACGAAGTTGTGGTGTGCTGTGCGTGTAACGCGAGGGAAACAAAAGAAAACAGCAGCCGTGCGAGATGTTTTTCACAATTTTGCCGGTACCGTAGTCGACTGGCCCTGGTTTGTGAAACATCACAGATCACGGCTTCAGTTCAATCATCGAAGAAGCAAGGCAGACGGCTTGCCTACATAAACACTACGCAACACATATCTGATGTTGCAACGAAGAACTTCCCATAGCCGGGTGAAAGATCATCCCGAAAAACGGCTATTTAAACGAAGTAAATATCACCAGGGCCAACCCAAATAACCACTTAAATGCCGTGCTTATTCGGCGAGCCCTGACACCGTAACACTGGGCCAAGGGTCGAATAGAGCCGCCGCCCGCCGCCCCTCCGACGGCCGGCCTTGGCGACGCATGTGAGCCCGTCAGAGCACGGCCCGGCCTCGGCGTAGAGCACGCGCAGCAGCCGACAGGCGGTGCCGGACTGCTCCACACCCCCGCCGCGCCCGGCACACCGCCCACAACACGGCCACCGCCGAACCACGAGCCGGCCGCCACCGATGCGCGGCAGAGTGCCCAAGGCCGCGGCCGCGCTCCGGCGTTACCCGGGGTGTAAACAGGAGCCGCCCAGAAGCCGACCGACGAGCCGCCGTCTGTCCGGACTGACCGCCCCGCCGCCGGCTGACCCGTGTGTACGCGCCACTGTCCTCGTCCGCAGCCGACGACAGGCCTGGATCGGCTGTCGCCTGTCGACGACGACGATATGACCGCCAGCCAGACGCCGCGTCACTACACAGTCCGAGCTCCGAGTCACTCGCGCACGCCGGCACGTGTCACATCTCAGCAAAACTCGCAGGCTCCGGGCGCGGACAATAGCCTAATAATAGCTCCAAATCCCGCCTGACCAACAGGTTTCCAGCTTGATTTTTCCTGACGAGTGGCCCAA